AAGATTACGTGCCTGATCTTATCCTCAATTATTTCCTCTAAACAGATTAAATTTATACTGATTAGAGGTAATTAGTTTAGCTCACGTAAGTTAATCTACTACTTACAGTCCAATATCAATTTCTGAATAATTCAATATTGTTTTATATTCTTACTCGCGTAATATTTCAAACTGTTTCAAGTCTTGAAATTAATTTTAGACTGAACAAATTCTAAATTTTAATTTTCTGTATTTTATCCCAAGAATGACGTTTCTGACAGTGTCAACTCCCGAGCTCATATTGTATCCATCTACTATAGGTATTTATCTTGTGACTTTAACCTAACTGTCTAACAATTAAGGATTTTTTTCTTCTTTTAAAATGCCAGTGCGTTTTTTTTTTATACGCCGCTAACATCGTGCTGTGCTTAGAGATTCTTGAAATTAAGATTCTCAAACTATACTTGTACTGAAAATTATTCCGCCTTAAAATACGGCGAGAATTTATCGATCGAATTTACTTGATCGAAACATGAACTTAACATGAAATTTGCTATAGAATTTAGGAATACATATATTAATTCCATAAATCCTCCATTCACAATATAATATAACATTTTCTAAGAAAATTCTTGGCTTAAAAATACATGAATTGTATTATTTAAGGTCTGAAATTTTCTCAGTCATTACATTCCCTCGGTTGCGTTGGCTTCGGCAACATTTGCCTTGCCTCCCTTATCACCTATAAGGGACTCAAATTGATGCAGCTCATTCAGGAGCTCAGTCAAGTTATCATTCTTTTGGTTCATCAGATAACTTGTCCTGAATAGAAGAAAATCAGGAGAAAGTGTCTCCAGTGTCATGTCAACCTGAGTCTTCTCATCAATCTGAGACCCATTAATTTTAGCTTCATTAAGATAATTAAACTTCTTAAGCACATGCTCACGCACAGAAGAACCATTCTTCAAATGGCTATTCATAACGACTTTGACAGCAGCGTGTCGGGCTGAATTAAATGGACGTCCAAACATCCTCTGAAGTGAGTCCATGATCTCTCTAGCAGTCGCAAGGCCTTCATGCTGAGTTCTCAGCACTTCATTCATTGCTGTTAACAGGTAGCAGTAGGCCTTGTTGTTGGCGTTGACCCAGCGATCATATCGCTTAGTCACAGCCCTAATGGCATTGGCGAGAGGCACTAGAGGACAATCTTCCTTAAGGACAAAATGGTAGTCTTCACAGATCAAGAGGATATTCATGTTACTTTTTCATTTGACAAAGTTTTCACCATTCAAAACTTAGGAAGCGAGAAGTGAGAAAATAGGTTATTTGACTATTATCTCTTACTTTTGATAAATATCTTTTTATTAGTGTAATTATTTAACTAAAAATGTTATGTATCAAGAGTAAAAATCTTGATTCATGTACTTTCAAAAAATATTTGTCAAGATTATTCAAAACAAAATTATTGTAGGCCTTTTAAAGGCAATATTGGGCCTAATTGTAGTGTTATAAAAGAAAGAACCCCATTGTTATTTCCCTTTGCAGCATTAGTGCATCGCCATTTTGCCGCCAACTCTCCTGTCCATGCCTTTATGGCAGATCATCCTCCTTTGTGTTGGAGTTTATGTCCCCATCTGTTACTGTAAAGTGAGTTAGAAGGATTTATGTTAAACATGAGAAGGCACCTAGGTCTCAAGTCTCAATTTTTCTTCTTTTCTGTAAGATTTGGTTGGAATTTTTTTTTTTCTTTGAAAAGATTTGGTTGGAGTCGGACTTTGGCAAGGGGATTAATCAAATGACGTAATTATTCAGTAATCTATAGCATATACGTACATTACTACTTACTAGTTCTTCTTCTTCTTTTTTGAATATGTATATGTACATATATGTATTTTTTTTTTTTTTAAATGATGGGCGATCGGATCGGTTTTAACCCGACAGAAAATATCCTAACCCGAAACCCACCCATTCTAGTGCGGTGCACTTGGGCAGGTTGGTTCGATCGGATTTCATGTGCAGCCGTAGGTTTTGGTGTTTTTCTTCTTTTTCGAATTCTTTCGAAGCCTCGCCTTTGAGTAGACTCTGCGCCTCTCTTCTTTAATTGATTGGCTTGTCTGCTGTGGTCTTTGTTGGATTCTTGCTGTACTTCCTTTGTTGGGCTTTTAATATGTGTTTGGGCCTTTTGATTGGGCTTGGGCCCTGAATTGAATTTAGCCAGCGACAATACCATTTTTCACTTTCTTCAACACCAAAAAGCACGCGAGTAGCCAATGTTTGGAGCAGTCGAGCAAGTGAGAAAAAATAGCAAGAAGGAAGACAAACTTTCGGGGATACTAAGATTGCAACGTGTACCAGATATTCCCCAAGATTCTTATCCTAATGGATAGAGGCACGAGCTGGCCACACGCCACTTGACGTGTTCAAATCCTGACCTTCCAAGTGGTTTCCCATCCAACGGTTCACAACAAAGTCAGGCCATCTCGAAGACCCACCTCTATTCCCATATTTATTCTCAGCCTCTGGCATTTCTCCGTCTTCCAACCATTCTTCATCAACCTTGAATAATTCCTCGTTTTCCAAGAACCTATTTGAGATCTCGACCCAAAAAAGAAACCCCGTTTCGGATTTTCCAACAACAATGCTTTTGAGGCCCGTTTTAGCACTCCCATTCTCGACCCTCCAAGGGAATGGCCATGGCAGTTTTAGTAAGACTTTCTTGTCCAACTTTTCTCTGAGTTCTGAAAAGGGAAAGAAATTTGTGGCTTCTGCGTCGAGAGAACAAGATTTTGTGGTGTTCAGGCCATTTGAGGAGGTTGAGAAAGATTCTCTTCTTGTTCCGTTGAACCCTCAACTTTCCCTTGCTCGTCACCGATTTTCTGATGTGTGTGAAGCCGCCATTAACGAGCAGATTAAGTATGTAGTAGTATTGTTAGTTTCGCTTCTCTTCCTTGTTTTGGTGTTTGATTGGTTTCTCTGTTATCTAACTCTTTCAAGAACTCTGTGATTAATATCTTTTTCAATATACTTTCTTTCTGAAATTACTGAATTCCGATAAATTTTTATACTTGTTGTCTTTTTTAATATAGTTGCTAGATGAATTTTTTGATGTCAGATAACTTTGTGAGTGAATTTGAGATCCTTGGAATCCAAGAACTTTATGGTAGTTTTCTTTTTCTTTTTTTTTAAAAATGAGATTTGCTACTCAAATTCTTGTATTTGAAAAGGTTGTGATTGTCCTCTTTTCATTTTATTTTTTGGGGAAGAATTATGATTTCTTGCTAAAAGTCCATTTCATAAAATTTCTTGCTGAAATTCTTTTTCATGTAATTTCTTACTGAAAATCTTGAATTCCAAGATAATTTTATGATCTTTGTCTTCTTTATATACTTGCTAGCTGAAATTCTTGATATCCGTAGAACTTTTTATATAATTGCTTTCTGAGATCCTTGAATTTCAAGGATTTCTTACTCAATTTCTTAAATTCCAAAAGGGTCGTGATTGTTCTCATCTCATTTCATTTTATTGGGAGAGGCTTGTGATTATTTTCTTTTTGTTATGTATGAAATTCTAGAGTAGTTCCAAGAACTTTATTATTGTCATCTTTTGGATGTTATTCTTTGCTGAAAATACTTTGTTTGCAGTGTGGAATACAACGTCTCGTATGTGTACCACGCCATGTTTGCGTACTTTGATAGGGACAACATTGCTCTGAAGGGCCTCGCCAAGTAAACATTGGAAACCCCCCCAAGATTTTTCTCCTGCACTTTCATTGCATGGTTTTTTTTTTTTTTTTCAATTTGTATGGTCTCGTTGTAATCAGGTTTTTCGAGAAGTCCAGTGAGGAAGAAAGAGAGCATGCTGTGAAGTTAATTAGATATCAGGCATATTTCCTTGTTAATCTTTGAGTTGTTCTTTATTATTCTAATAGCATACAGTAGAAGTTTTATGTGCTCTAATTTTTCCTGTTTCAATATTTTGAATACCTTTCATTTCGTAAAAACAGAACATTCGCGGAGGAAGAGTAAAGCTGCATTCCATAGTACCGCCCTTCTCAGAGTTCGAGCATGAAGAAAAAGGAGATGCATTATATGGTTAGTTTTTCCTTTCACTTATTTTCTCTTTCTTTTTTCCCCTTTTGTTGGTAATGTTGATGACTAACTCTATTATTATTTCTCAAATATAGTATTATTATTTATGTGATTGATTTGAGCTTTAAATCACGCAACTGTCAATAATCTTTTGATGCAGCAATGGAACTTGCACTGGCTTTGGAGAAGTTGACAAATGAAAAACTTTTAAGCTTGCACAGAGTAATTACATCTTTGATATTCTGAGTCTTGCTTTAGTTCATTTTTATTTGTGGAACCATTTAACTTTAGCTAATGGTTTTCTATTTCTCCATTAAGTTTGTGTTCTTTTCTAATTGGCCTAATCATGAATTTTACTAACTGCCTTCTGGATGGTCGACAGGTGGCGGAGACGAAAAATGATCCTCAAATGTCAGATTTTATTGAGAGTGAATTTCTAACTGAGCAGGTACATCAAGTGTTAATGGTTTACTGTTAGGATTTTGGTGTCATTTCTTCTGGCTTGATATTGACGATACAAATGCTGCCTTTTTTTTTTTTTTGCAACAAAAAATGAAATTTCTCGCTTTCACATTTTAAGCACTTTAACTTTCATACTTCTGCTCTTTGTGTTTGTCTTTGTTCCAAAAATACTTCCTATTAACGATTTGTTCTGTCTTAATTGTTTCAGCAAACCAACGCTTACAGAGTGAACAGTTTAAGTAATAAAATTGGATTGAAAGAAATATACAACATTGTGGGGAAGAAAAAGACACTCGAATACAGTACAACACTTTTTCTAAATGTGAATTGAACACAGGATAACAGTATTTGGACAAAAACCATTTGAAATTTGAAAGTGAATACTGATGAAGATCAAGTCAATTGGCTTTAATATTTAAGATTTTATAAGAATTTATGTTATTTTGAAATTAGGTTATGTTTCCCGTTTATCAGGTTTACTTATTTTGTTTTGATTTAGTTTCCTATTTAGTTTTTCTATAAATATAGTTGCATTGTAATTTCATTTCAAACAATGGTTAGTGAATATTGAAATTAGTAGTTTATCTCTCTTGAGTTCTTATTTCTCTCTCTAAATTCTCTATTTCTCTCTCTTCTGGCTTTTCTTCCCTAGCTCAAGTCTATTCTTCTATCTCCATTCTCTTTCTTATATTCATCCTGCATCAAATACATAACACTTCGGATTTTACTATAAGTTTTATTTTCTTTTTTATTTATTCTACAGGTTGAGTCCATTAAGAAGATTGCAGAATATGTAGCTCAACTGAGGTTGGTTGGGAAGGGCCATGGTAAGAATTAGAGTTCAAAAAGTCTCGACATTTAATTTTCTTTTCAATCGGCTATTTTCTTTAACTAGAGCTACATTGGCATATAATGGTATATCCATTTTGGACTCTAAAAGGATAGTTTGTTCTTTTTTTTTTGGGGGGGCGATTGGCAGGAGTATGGCACTTTGATCAGAAGCTCCTCCATGATGATGATGCTGCATGATGGACAACTACATTGCTTGTAGTACTTTGGATTTTACGCTGAAGTTCCGATAGTTTATTGTATAATTACTATGCAGAAAGGCAGATTTCTTCTGTAAAAACATGTATTACTGTTCAGACAAGGTGTTTGGCACTGATTTATCTCATACCATATAACATATTAAACTACTAGACATAGAGTTTGGTATTGATTCATCTTGTGCCATTTTGATCTTTTTGATTTGTGGAATCTTGTGAAACTAGACAATATAACTTTTTTTTACTGAGATCAACATATATGAGCTTTTTCTGGATCAATGAAAAACAAACAATTTATTATCTATACTCAGATGCTGATATCTACATGACAGTAGAAATTGGTTTCCGGTACTTTTCTGCTTCTTTTTTTTTTCACTTCCTGAAATGAGTAACAGAGTCAAATACTAATATATGATTCTGTGTTCTAACGGCATATAAGAAAAGAGTGACATGAAGTCAAGTGGGCTGAAAACAGAATCTCCAATATGAAGATCTATGACTCTGCTTTCTGATTAGGGCTGGCAATTTAAGTCACGACACGACGACACGATTTAAAACTCACAAAGTTAGAGGGTTTGGGTTTTCCTTAAATGGGTTGAACCCGCCAAACATGATTAAATAACGGGTGAAATACAACGCAAACCCTCCAACACGAAATTAACTTGTAATAACTCATTTATTAAATGCGTCATAAATAGATTGACACAAATACGACACATTATGAACCCATTTATAACCTGTTTTATAAATATATGTAAAAATTGATCTTATTTTCTTGTGTCTGATTGTTGTTTATTGTTTTAGTATTTTCTTTTTGTTGTTTTAAGTTTACTGTTTTGCTAAGTTGGTTTTTTTCTAATATCTTTTAAGTTTATTTTAGCTTAAAAAATGAATTTCAATAAATGGGTTGTAAATGTGTTTCAGGTTAACACGACACGATAATGACTCGTTCACGGATTAGTCGTATTGTGTTCATGTTAATCCATTAATAAAAGAGTTGTTTTTAAGTTTTATTTTCTGACATGATTATTAAATAAATCAAGTTCGTGTTAAGAATTATAGTGTCGACTGAAGTACATAACACGACACAAATCTAATATGGCAACACAAATTGCCCGCCCTATTTCTAATCTCTTTAGGGTACTCTGAGGACAAGAGTGGAGAATCTCCCACATTACACGTATATCCGCATATTCCCCACAGGATTCCATGTCCTTATAAAGACTCACCAGCCCATGTCCATTTCCTGACAGTTTTTTTAAAAGAATTAGCTGAGAAATGTGCAATACTAAATATTTTATTGAAAATAATAAGTTTTGATTCCTAAATATGCAAATTAGTTTTTATTAATAAGAGTAAGCTATTAACCATCCATTCAAGAATTTATGCACGCATACATATATTTGAGAATCATAATTTACACATGGAGAATTTGAGTATAGAGGGCGGAAAAAATGTAGAAAATAAGAGAGTTTGAGGTATATAGGAATACTTTCTTTTAAAGTTTTATTTGCACTCACTTCTTAAAGTTTGCTAATGAGTTTTTATTGTAAATTATCCTTAAGATACAACAAACCCTTAAACACAATATCTAGCAATAATATTGAGTTCTAGAATATGAATTAAATCTGTAAATTTTCTGAAGAATTAATAAAGACAGATGTGTCATTTCATGAAATTTCATGAATGAACACATCCTCTTCAAACATCACAACCATTCACATAGAGATACATTTTCATTGTAAAGGTATCTCTTCATGTATTAATGCATCTATTACAATATATATGTCTATTGCTAATAGGTATTCATAAATGTATTAAAACATATGACTAATGGTTGTAATAATTCGAAACAATTGAAATTACAAATCACACACTCGCACTTTTTCTGTCTAAGACGTTGCAGCGGATAAAAATACCCGCTGCAGCGGATAAAAATACCCATTGCAGCGGGTTTGGCAGAGACAGCACCTGTTTAGTGCTGTCTCGCGGGTGCGCTACAATCCTTATGCAGTCCCAAATGCTTCCATTTGCATTTTAATGGTCCAAAAATGTGACTTGTTATGAGAGACATATTACAATCTTTCTAATACAGATGTATAAATAAATAAGAAAAAACTTATATAAAAATTCAAAATTTTCAAGTTAATAGATTTTTTCCTACGACTTTGTGGATCGAGACTTAAATTAGTTTTTGATGTCTCTGCAGCCCTTATGCAGTCCCAAATGCTTCCATTTGCATTTTCATGGTCCAAAAATGTGTGATGTGTTTTGAGAGACATATTACAATCTTTCTAATACATATGTATAAATAAATAAGAAAAAACTTAAAAAATTCAAAATTTTCAAGTTAATAGATTTTTTCTTACGACTTTGTGGTTTAGTTTTTTCCTCCTCCTCCTCCTCCTCCTTCTCCTCCTCCACTAAACTATTTCCATAAAATTATTAATTCTTTACCACATTTTCTTTTCACCTCTAGTTGAAACTTTAGGTTTGAATCGTTTTTTCATACACAGAAAATTTACTATTACATTTCCAAATAACAACGTAAAAAAAATTGTAAATTCGCTTACCATTTTATTATAATCCCTTAATTTAATATTATCATTTCTACATCTCTATTTTTTAAAGTTCTTTATTTATTTTATTTTTTCTAGTTGAAACTTTAGGTTTGAATCGTTTTTTCATACACACAGAAAATTTACTATTACATTTCCAAATAACAACGTAAAAAAATTGTAAATTCGCTATTAAAAGATTTCGAGAGTGAATATCCTTAATATGGAGTGTGTATGTAAGAAGGGGTATGGAAAGTAAAAAAAGATGTGCAAATAGAACTACTCTTGCCAAAAACACGAGAAGATAATGAGGAGAGAAATTTGAATCGATTTAAGACGTTATAATATAATGTATAGTATTTTTGTACTATTTAGAAGTCAATTTCAATAATACAAAATAAGAATAGATTGAAAATAAAATTTTAAAACAAAAATAGGGAATTAGTATACTTTTTTAACTCTTTTGCATTTAAAATAGGAATCCTTTTGTATAGGATTTTTGTACTATTTACAAGTCAACTTAAATAATACAAAATAATAAGCTACTAAAAAAAAGGAGCATAGCTAACAGTATTTTTCATACTAAAAAGAGGCCAAGATAAGATTTAATAGGTTTATTAAAACATGCCTAATTAATATTATTAAGACAAATACATTAATTATGATATATACAATATAAGCAATACTCAATCTGTCCAGGGGCCTTTACTCAAGGTGAGGCCTAAGCTATTGCCTCAGTTGCCGCACCCTTGAGCCGGCCCTAAGAAGGATTGAGAGAGTAAGACAAAGACGTAGAAATATGGGGTACTCTGAGCATAAGAGTGAAGAATCACCCACGTCCTCGGATGATCTGAGCAAGAGACCGATATCAGACCATGAGTCCAAGTCAGTGTAAGGCGGCAATAGGCCAAACATATTTGAGACCTAAAGGTCTAATCATGTTATGTACAATCAGATGACCTATGAAACGGATCTGACTAGGTGCCGACCAGGCATGGGACCAAGTGTCCGGATAGGCTACGAACATATCTCAACCACTTCAAGACTGGTATCGATGATCTTCTCCACTAAAGTCTTGAGGGACTAATGTTGAGGGTTGGTCATTTCATGATCAGAAGAAGAACAGACCGAGCACCTGGTCCGAACAAGCCGAACAATGAAGAACTATCAACAACGAGTTGCATAGCAAAATTTAAAGTTTTTATTGTTTACCAAAACCAACTAGGACCTATTTGTAATGTTATATAATATAAATACCAAAAATTCAAATCATACCTTCAAAGATTCGGGAAATAGCACGTCTAACAGAAATTTGCTGCATTCTGAATAGCGCCCAGAAGAGCCTTAACCAACTGGTCTTTTTTGTTATTCTCATTTCCACGACTGAAGTACAAGTGGGCACATGTCGTACAATCTCTTCTTAGTATTCTCAAATTCTTTCTAACTACAAGAGAGCTGCAGAAAAAATTAATCTTAAGATTTAATTAATTTTTCCTCTCAGGAGCCCTGGTCAAGAGCCACCAAAAAGTCTCTTAAGTGATCTAATGAATAATGAGACTTACTGAGCTATTTATAGAGTTTTGGAAGTCATATTCAAGCAACAATTAGGTTTTCAAAGTCAAAATCGCGTAACAATTCTTTTTGAATTGATTTGCCATAACAGTAGACACAACCAGTCAATTAGTCCCTTGTAGTTATCAAACTACCAGTTGACCGGTGCACACAAGGATCACGTAAACAAGTCACGTTCTGGTTGGCCGACCTATGTCACAGGTTGACCGGTACTTATGTAATTTCTTGTTTTCTTAGTTTATTTAATACCATAAACTTGCACAAAGACTTAGTCTTAATGCAAATAACCTAATGTAAAAGTTGCCTGATTAAAACAGTCATATAATATCGTTCCCATATTAAATAAAACAAAAAATAATAATTCAACCAACTTATCTTAAATTAATTTAACAATTAATTCGATCAATAAATTACTCATGAATTAATTATCTATCTCACAATTGATTTAAAACCTTTAGTGGAAATAACATATATTACTAATATGTAAGAAATTTGCTCTATCTTTACAGAAAGCATATGAGCAAACAAAAGGACCCGATGGACATATATAGATCAAGCTCATATAATCACGACAGTACTTGGTCATCGACAAGCTCATCACATGATTATAAACTCTAGTCATATTCCACTAAAACTCTAGAGTTGCAATTTCAATCTATACAGTATATTTACAAAGCTCCAATTAGCTCTCGTCCATGACTTATTATAGTGTATCGTCTCTATAAGATATCCATAATCGACTTAAGGTTAAGTTCCATTTTAACTTCCCGATTGTAGTTATCTTATATTTCATTACCACTCCATCAGAAAAGCCACTAGTTGTACTAATACAAATAGTTAACCATTAGATAACACAAAGTAGTCTAATGACAGAGCACTCATATTTTCAAATCCACAGATAACACTAGAAGAGGATATCACTAACTCTTTAGAAGAGTTATATATTCCCTATCTATGAATAATACATCTATACATACAAGAGTCATATCTCCAAGCATATTTTTAAATAATGTCAGGATGTCACCCTTTAGTACATCAAAAGATACAAGTTAAGCATACAGGTTTATTATTCATCTTAGAATTAAGTTGATCACATATAATTTGTCAAAAGTGAATTGTTTTATTCAAGCAGAATTATTAATTAAAATA